ACTCATGCTGACTCCATCTCTGTGTGACAGACAGACTGATCAGGCTGAAATCTGATACAATAGATGATCACAGATATCGAGAAAAATGTGTTTCCTTGAATCTGTTCAAACTCTGGATTTTATTGAAAACCTTCCCCTCCTGCCCTCCCCCCTTAGAGGGAGGGGGAGGAGGACGGAAAACAAAATCACTTAATTCAGAATCCGCATTGTAATAGCTACGGTAGGCTCAGACGTGACTTGAACATCTTTTTTAAAAATATATATTTTATTGATTTTTTACAGAGAGGAAGGGAGAGGGATAGAGAGTTAGAAACATTGATCAGCTGCCTCCTGCACACTTCCTACTGGGGTGTGCCCGAAACCAAGGTACATGCCTTTGACCGGAATCGAACCTGGGACCCTTCAGTCCGCAGGCCGACGCTCTAGCCACTGAGCCAAACTGGTCAGGGCTTGAACATCTTGAGCTCTGGGATTCAGTGGCCAGGCTCCCCAGAGAGGATGGATGACACAGCACAGGGAATAGCAGGCTGCCTGCCTTGCTTTATAGCGAGCAAAGATGGGGAAGTCCTTGTTGAGGTCACCTGCGCTGGGATGCGCTTAGTAATTTAAATGGACACGGGTAACTTATGTGTGGGGAAGCCAGCCCCGGGGACAGGAAAGAGCCAAAATGCAGCGTAGTAAAGACACGGAGTGCAGAGGACAGCTGGAAATGTAGGCTCGTGAGGCCTTCCCTTTATAGACAGCTTCTGTTCTATGTATTTTAACTCACGCATGGAGAGCAGATATTACTACGAAACAGTGCAAAGGCGTGTAATGAGTTAGCTTAATTAATGAGTTGGTTCAACTAGTTTGGAGACAGTGACTGAGAATGCCAGGAAAGCAGAGTAGCAGCGGCATCAATATGATCTAGGGCAGCGGCCGCCAACCTTTCGGACCTCACGGACCACCAGCTGGCGACCACTGATCAGGGAACACCTTTCCCTCCAGAGAGGGAAGTGGACTTGGCTTGGGACTTTCTCACCTCTTCCACGATTTTCACTTATTCCTTCCTTCAGTCATGTGACACGGATCTGCTGCTTCCTGCTTGCCCCTCCTTGTGCTCAGTGGCCCTTGGGAATCCACAGATGATACATGGTGTCTCTTCATTCATTCAAGAAATATTTATTAAGGTCCTACTTTGTGCCAGAAGGTGCTGGGGATATAGTAAGGAAATACAAACAAACAAAAAGCAAGAAATGTATCAGCCTGTTTAAGCCACATAAAACTAACAAAAGCAAAAGGTTGAAACAAGTGCTGTAACCAAATGTGATGGCTAGAGGGAGCGGTAGATGGCTAGTGTGGAAGAGCAAGCACAGGACAATGTGAACCATAGAATCTAGGTGGCATTTACTGTAAACTCTTCCAACTTTGTTTGAAAATTTGTGAGATAAAATATTGTGGGAAAAGTGATGGGAATGATAAGGAAGGTGGGTTTTTGGGCGAAGTTCACGGAGGACATGGCATTGTTTTATCTAGCTCTTCTTCCTCTCAGCTACTTAATATCCCCTTAGCTATGGGCCAGTCAGGTTCAAAATTCCCGCAGGCCGATCCTGGACTTTAAACACCTCTGCAGAAGTCCTTGAAGACTGTCAGATGTCTAGTGGAGGAAAGACTGGGGAGAAGAAGCTGACTCACAAATGGGCACAAACGCACTCACCCCACAGCCATTTGGGACGGCACCTCCTTCGAGCTAACCTCAAGAATGGAAAGAACTTTTATGTTTTCTAATACCCTTGATTTTCTTTAGTATTTTTTCCCCCAACATGTTTCTGAATTTAAGGAAATTACTGTTTTAAAAGAGGATGCTATTGACTTAAGTCCTCTTTTAGACTGTAGGACCCTATCAGCTCATTGATCCGATCCCAGAATCACTGGGGCAGAGGCTGGAAATTACTTGTGTAGGGTGTCCCCACGGCTCCAACAAAAGTTCCATTTCCAGTTTGTGGGGGGGAAAAAAGCCACATGCTGACCTGACAAGTTCAGGGAGGCCTGCATGGCAGTCTTGCAAACTCAGAGACCTAAAGTCACCACAAAGGATGGACAGGTCCTAGGCAGGGATCTTCCCTGAAAAGGTCAACCTTTACCTTAACTAAGCCTATTGTTTTTTTGCACCTGTGAAAACATATCCTTGAAATGTCTGGGTAACTTGTAACTTCCCTTTTTCCAGACCCCTCAGGGCACAACCTAATGTGTTTGGACACCAGGACAGAGACCATAAATTCCTTCATCGTCATTGTTATCATGTTAACTAGAGGCCCTGTACATGAATTCGTGCACCAGTTTGGTCCATCTGGCCCACCCCAATGGGACCCGATTGGGCTGGGCCGGTAAGGGGGAGGGGCCACAGGAGGTTGGGGCCGCAGTGTGGTCATAGTGACTGGTCGCTTGCCTTTTATATATATAGGTTGTTGATAGTTAACTATTTTGCACCCACCTAAGTATGTGTCTATCATTTTACTTTTTCTCCAATCCCAGGGGTTTCCCCCGCTTTGCTGTCTCCTGCCTTTCTAATCTATAAAATAGACGGAAAAAACCGCCATTTTCTGGAGCATTCTCTCAATTCATTGAGGTTCTGCTTCCCAGCAGTTGTCCACAGTTGGCTCAAATAAACTTACAAAAATTCTTTACATGTTTGAATGTTTTTATGTTAACAAGTTTCAGCCTTTTTCTCTTCAAACACTTACATATGGTCTAGACTAGCCAGTGGTCGCCAACCTTTCGGACCTCACAGACCACCAGTGGTCTTCGGACTACCGGTTGGCGACCGCCGGAGACTGTGCCAGGCAGTATTGTCAGAACTTCAAATATAACAACTCACTTACAGCTCACAGCAGTCCTGGAATGTACCCGCATCATTGCTCCCATTCAGCAGATCACGAGGCTGGAGACGACTGCTCCTAAACGCAGAAACCTGCCTCCGGAGGTGCAGGCGGCGGCGAACTGCCTTTCTCGCCCGGAAGGCCCGTCTCTGAAAAAATAGTTCAGTTAAAGCTATTAATGGTCAGCAGGGCATTAATTATTATATTAATGTTCGCACTAACCATGACTCCGCAGGAACTTCGGATTTCAAACTGTGGTTTGAAAGGGCGCTGCTGTTAGGAGGGAGCGTACCCCTTCTCCATGGAGTCGCTGGTTAAGGAGGATGGTGTTTGGGGGTTTCCGAGAGAGGAAATGTTTCAAACTAGGGGCTGACGTTATTTTGGCCAACGGGAGGGGAAAGAACATTCTAATTTTTGGAAAGCGCGTTTTGAGCCTGGATAAAATGACATTAACTCTTTGTTTCTTCTTAATTTTCCAAGCTTGTTCTAATTTCGCTCCCAAACCTTGGGGCACTCCCTCCAGGATCTGGCCCCCCTTTCAGCCTTTTATCCCTTTGCAAAGAGGTGGCGGCATTTCTAATTAAAGGCCCAGGTCGCGGGGAAGGGTTA